GGTGGCCTCGTTTTCTTTTTTCCTTTTTTTCATCAGGCGTGGAATGGAGCATGTAATAATTCTGTATGATAATTTTAGCATATTCTAATAACCTTACAAATTACAGAAAGCATAATTAGAGTCTCTTAAGTGGGTTCCTTAAGATAGTTATAGAAACAAATTTCCTGCTTCTTTTTAGCTAATATAGGATTTTAAAAAATGTGTCTTGTGTGCTTCATAGCCTCAGAAGCAAATGTTGTGGTAAGAACCTTTGTGCCTTTTATTTCCTAGGTTAACCAACTGATGAGAAAGTGTTGGGTACAGGACCCTGGCGAAAGGACAACTTTTCACAATCTGATTCAAGGCTTTGAAACACTCATTACCAAGTTATAATCCAACATTTTTATACTGTTATTGTTGAATATTTTTTTAAAAGACAGCCTGTTGCTAGATTTTTTGTAATTTTGCAATTCAGCAATTCCTTTTTGCTTGGAAATAAGAGTTTGCTACTCGGCCAACCCAAGGGGTAAAAGCATTGGGTCACCCTTTGTGTGATGGCCAGAACTGTTGTATTCCATTCATTTAGGTTCTAACTGGTGAAAATAGTAATTGGCTTGCGCAACATATGAATGTTATCAGGATTTTAAAAATAAAATAGAAGTTTTGTCAGAATAATGGCATCGAGGTATGCAGTATGTTACATTGCTTCTTTGTGAAAGCTTTTAAAAATGTACATTATGCAAAAATGCTAATGCTGTTTTTGCCAGAAGAGCCATACAAATATTCCTATTCACTGAGAAGGCTTGGATATGCATCTGTAACCTTCAAATTCAGTTACTCACGTTAATTGAGTAGGATACTTCTGAACTCATCTTAACAGTGGAAAAGTTTATATCATATTATGGATACTTGCTATTCATAGGAAGAAATTACTATAAAGCATATCGATGGGGAAAGCACTAGTTCTTTATATCCGAGCCTATTTCTTTTTGTATATTGTGTATTTGTAAACTTGTTTCCTATATGCTTGGTGCCACCTAGCCTGTATCACATGTATAGAGCCGAGGTCTCTGCTAGTCATTCATCCCTAAGGCATTGTTTGATGTTTTCGTTTATTTACTTCCCTTTAAATGGAAAGCTAAGGAAATCATCTGTTTAAATTTGTCATTTTTGCTTGGGGGAAGAATGTTGAATTAGAATACTTGGGCCACAGCCAAATGCCAATGGTTGCTCCTTTTACTATCAAGGGAAATTTCCAAATGAAACACTCAAATAACTTTGATTTTTTTTTTATATACAGTAGGTGTTCTGAACCTTATCCAGAATGCAGGATTTTTATACACCTATCTTTTATATGTGAGCCAAATAATAGGTAAATGTAAAAGCATTATATCAATGTTGAAGTGATACCCCTCATGCCTGATAATATTTTTAGTAAACGTCATGAGCCAAATCAACAAACTAAGCAGCTAGCCAGAGAAGTTACCTCTGGGTATCTTTTATTCTGAACTGCAACACCCCTTCTGCACAAGGGTGTTGCCACAGATACAGTATGTTATAATACATTATTCAACAATAATGTATGCATTTTACTTGCAGTGTATATATAAAGGAATAGAACTTTACAGATTTGGAAAGCTCTTGAGCTGGATCCAGATTTAATCACAATTAAAGAAAGGCTTTTGATTTCATTGGTCAATTCTAAGTAGACTTAACCCAATCTGTTGAATCTAAATAAACCACCTATATTTTTAGTTGAAGGAAAATGGCAATATGCATAAACATGGAAAGGAGCCATGATACGGGATTTACCAGATGGTCCTTTCGCTGTCAATTCAGAAGTCTTTTTTAGGTTGAAAAAAATAAGGGGCATTCTTCTTTAAAAGGAAGCTATTCTTTCCTAAAATAAAATATTGCATTTACGGACTAATAGAGGATTTGCAATAATGTAAAATGTAATTTTAATCCTAACCCATCTTTCAAATTTCCTGTCCTTTAATGTAATCTATAAATATTCTATATGCACTTTGTTATTCTTCATTAAAAAAACCCTTTTGATTTTATCCAGAAATGTTCATCCATTTTTTTAAAAAACGTTCCAAATACTTTGTGCTCAAGCCTATATTCAGATATTTTGAAGTGATTGATCCATCTCAGTTGGGCATTTTTGTGTTTTGTCCTCTTCTTGTCGATTTCCCTGATGACTCTCCATTTTATTCATTTATTTGTTATACATTATTTATAGCTGCCCCCAGTCATGACTCACTGGGCTATGTGTAACAAGGTCAGAAAGGACACAAAAGGATTATGATTATTCATGCATATCAACTTGAATGCCTGCAGTTGGTTAACTTGGCAAAAGTAGCATAGGATTTTTAAAAAATGTTTATAGAAGCCACTGGCGTAAGGGTGCTGCATGCACTATTTAATAAAGAACTGGATATTTAAAAAGTTAGTCTACTACTGGATACATGCTGGAAATTTAGTCTAGTTCTACTGAATTAGTTCTACAGCACATTGGCTCAGCAATTAAGAGGCTGGGCTTGTTGGCTGGAAAACTGAGAGGGTGAGCATCCATCCTTGCATTATCTCCTGTCAACCTAGCAGTTTGAAAGCATGCAAATGCGAGCAGATAAATAGGTACCACTTCAGTGGAAAGATAACTGCACCATAATGCCATGTTGTCCACATGATCACAGAAATGTCTTCGGACAGTACTGGCTCAATGGCCCTTTAAATGGAGATAAGCACCACCTCCTAGAGTCAGAAATGAGTAGTGGAGTAAAATCCGCAGGGTCTCTTACCTACTACAGGACTTCTGTGCAGAACTTCACCTCCCATAATATGTACAAAGAAGCCTTTTATAAAGTTGCTCACAATCAAAGAAGTGCACTATTGTTTGAGCTTGTATGGGGAAATGAAGAAGACACTTTTTAAAAATTTCTACTGTTTTTTTTTTTCTATTCAAGTGTAGCATAGGTCTAGAAAGTTGCAATTTGAGGGCAGGGACAAAATTATTCCTGCTGCTGTGTTATATCAATAGAACTATAGTAGAAGTATCAAACGCAAGGTCCACAGGCCAGATCCGGCCCATGGGGCTGCCCTGCAAACAACGAAGGACCCAACTGCAGCACTTTGAACCATCCCAAGCTGACTGGGTGCTGATCTACAACCTGGTAGAACAGGAGACTCTGACTGCGCATGGGACCTGGCATCCTGGGACCTGGGACTGTCTTGCCCCACAGACTGACTGCTTTCTGAGCAGTTCCCTTTCACCCAGGATGCCAGCACTTTTGCGCTCACTCTCTTGTGCGCATGCCCAGGGGGTGGGGTCTAGATGGCGTGGGGGCCCCTTAGCTCAACGGGAGCTCAAGATAAGCATATCCGGGAGCCCCCTTGGGGAAGCAGGGTTGGGCTGGGCTGGGCTGGGCTATAGGGTCCTGGTACTCTGGGACCTCAAGGGCTGACTGAGCACTTGCCCTCAGCAGCCCACACCATCTGGTGGTTCTCCGCATGGCCTGAGAGGGATGGCAAGGCTTCTCTGGAGGACGAGGCTTTGGCACTTGGCCTAGTCTCGCCTTCCTCTGCTGGAGACAATGATCCCCCACCCATCCTGCTTGGGCCTCCACAGGTACTCCCGACAAAAACGAGCTGGCCACACTCCACTCCACCCCAGCCACGCCCCACCCGGCTCCCCAAGGTCAACCACAACCCTCAATGAAATCAAGTTTGACATCCATGAACTATAGTATTAAAGTTGTAGACAAAGCTCGAGGTAGAGATGTATCGTAAGTTATTGAAATTTCTTGCTCCCTTCCATTCGCTATAGGCACACATTTAAGGAGGTTCACTTTGTAAACCATCTAAAGAGCTGTAGGATAAAGATATAATCGGGTAATACAATCTTATCATAATTGCTTATTTCCTAAATTTCTGTAACCTAATTGCAAGTAGTAAAAGTTGATTGGTTGCCAATGTGTACATTCTTCAGCTTATTTAACTTCTTCTGATATGAGCGAAGTGGACTAAACTATACAGGCTTGTAAGAACATTTACTTGCCTGTTTATTTATCAAGAGCTTGATTGGTCAAAAGGTAATGGAAATGTAATGAGGCCAATACATAAATATAGAAGTGGCTTCCTTCTTCCAGGAACATAGGACCAAAACCCATTGCTTAGTGTCAAAATATGACAGGTCTAATTCTACAAAACAGCTGCTTGCAGCAGTTAAGCTGCTATTGAACTCAGTGGCACAATCCCAATAAACATTTCAATCAGATTTAAATATATTTAGTTTTTATGGGTAAAGCCATATTATGGTCATACTACAATTCTCAATACTGTGAGCACACAGTAGTAAATAAGCTTGTTTCAAACACATTTTCACTCATAAGAAAAGTAGACCAGTTAAAAATAAAAGTAGCATATTGACAGAAGCATTTCATGTATGTACAAAGTATTACTTCCGGGGACTGTCCCCACAAATTGTCAAAGTGACCAAAAAGAGTTTTCAAGTTGGAAGTGAGATAAATTAGATATTTGCAAGAACCACCTGGAAAGCATATTCTTTTCATTAAATGCAAGTGACTGTAATAAATTCAGCTCCAACTGGATATTAAATATATATTCATACACACTATATTTGAAAATGTGTTTAAATATTGCCTCTAGATTTAGAATTTATAATCCCAAAGGCCAAATCTACAAACGTAAATCTAGTATCAGTCCTTCAGTTCCACAGAAACTTTATCATAACATACTTTATAATTCAACAATGTTATTTTTCAATAAGACATGAGTATCTTGACATTTTCCTAATTTACTGCTAGGAGTTGTCTAATTTTATTTACTTATATATTTTGAAAGTTGTAAATCTAAACCCCAATCATCTCAATAATAGTGTATTATTGTTGTGAAACAGATAATAGAATTAAACACTAATCCTCTTCAATGGACTTCAATCCTCTTAATGACTTTAAGTCATTAGACTTCCTGAAACATCATTGGCCAGCATTATTGCTTTTTAAGGGTTTCAGTACAGTTTCTCAGCAAGACAGTAGGAAACTTCCATTATTTCATTGTTTTGAGCCTAGCTCTCACACCATAAGATTGCTATTCTTCTAAAACACATTACTGTCAGCCTAGACAACAACAAAACAAATTAATCTGGAAGACGACAGCCTCTTCCCCATACCATTTTCCTTATCAAAACTAATTTCTGCGGTACTATTGCACATGTTATCTACAGTATATAGATAGAAATCTTAATAGACACGCTTTCTTTTAAGGTACAGTTCTGTATAATGCATTCCGGAGCTCTGAGTATGTGGTCCAACGTATTCTACCGGATTATCTTCTGGATTTGTGATGAGGTATGAAGAGCTCCGCTTTTCATTTTTTACTGGCGGCACCTAAGGATCATAAAAAGTCAATTATAGTAATGTGCAGCACCAAAAGAATGCTGAATTTGACATTTGATAAACTCTAACCATGATTCACACAAGAAAGTGATCTTAACAGATATAAATAGTTGGTTCCAGAGCTTTATACCCTGAATTATGCATTCCTGGATGGAATTAAAGTATTCCTGTTGGTGGAAAAGGAATCTATATGCAGCTTCCAGTGTTGCCCTTCGAGTGCATGGCTCTTGAAGCATCTGCTATTTTCTTTAGAGCAGGGCTAGACAAGTAAAAATGCAATGTAGACTTTTGCTGACTACAGGAGACCTAAGTTGGTTCCAATTTCATGCTTATTCTGAAAAGTTCCATTACCAAAATAACGAAGACAAATAGTATTCACAGCAACTCTAATAAATTAGTACTATCTCAGAACTCTTAATGGTAGCACAAGATATCTGCTGAGAATACACATCTGTTCAAAATGTAGTAATGAAAAAAAAAACTGATTTTATCTGCTACTTATCCTTCAATGCATCTTAGCATGATATAGGACTTTGGAAGCTCTGGGTTGTAGCTACTTAAATGTTGGTTATGTTTGATGTATTCTATAGTTTTAGGCTCCAGCAGAAATATTTTTACCTTCAGGGGATTTTGAGGCGCAAACGGCAAGACGCTTGGATGGAAGAATCCTTGGGCTGCAGCATAATATGAAGGCATAACCTGTAAATAGGTACCATAATCACCATAAACTCCTCCACTGGATTCCTACAGAACAAAACGTAAAAATAAAAATATGTGTTAGGAAGCTGATAACCAATTAAGAAATCAAATCACTGCAAGAAATTAATAACATAAATTTTCAGAAAGAGAAGTATATCTCTGGTATGGAGAATGGAGTAGAGGAGATTGTAGTCATGAGTTTCTCTAGATTCTAAAGTTCACTAGTTAACCTGGCCCCCATTAGGCCCCCAGCCTAATTTGTTTACAGCGCTGTTGTAAAGATGAAATAGCTACGTATAGTAGGCACTGCCTTAAATCCCCACTTGACAATTCATGATTTTTGTTTTCGTTGGGGCCGCCTTTCCATTATATACTGTAAGTAGTCTCCTCCTCTTCCTCAGCTGACCTATTCCTATGGAACTGCCTGCCACTTTGCTGGGGAAGGGGAAACAGGGAGCTGTGAACTTCAAGGAAAACTGCATTCCTGCTCCACATGCCTTCTCCCTCCAGTGAGGAAAAGGGTTCACCTTTCGCCCTCTTCCTCTTCACCATGGAACTGCCATTTTGCTGGGGAGTGAGGGGAGGTAAGGCAACCATGGATACCCTTTACCCCACTCTGTCCCCCAGAGACACCTTTACTCCAGAGAGGAATAGGACTCATCCGTGCGACCATAGGCATCCCTTAGCCAACGCTATCTTGCCAGCAGGCATATGAATCACTCCCTTGTTTTTCCTCAGAGATTTCAAGCTTCAGTTCCAAAGCAGCCAATGGCTGCTCACCTGTTCAGCCTTGCTGCCAGCTGATTGGGTGCAAGGGCCAGAGGAAGGCAGAAAAAGTAAGCAGACATACATTTATCCCGCCTTCCCTTGCGCCATGGAACCTATGGGTTTCTGGGAAGTGTAATCAAAAGGCAGGTGCAACCTTGCCAAATTTTAGTCCCATTTGAGGGTCCTAGATTTGGGATACATTCTGTAAGTTAGACCATTCGGGGTACATTGATTCAAAAAGATGTTTGTTTCTCAAGCATGAATTGTTTCACCCCAATGAAGGGATGTAAAGTTTGAGAGTTTTAGTATAGATAGGAAAAGTACAATACAAAATGAAGTCTAAATGACAGAAATATACTGTATATAATCTCCAAAGCTTTTCCAGGAATCTGTTGCAACACGTTTCACTAGAAATCTATTCATTCTTAATTACACCCCAACTTTGGAATTTCAGTTCACTCTGCAAGGGATTAGCCCTGGGTTTCTGGAAGCTGCAAGTCATGCAAAATTGGCAGATAAGCTACCAACTGGTGCCTGGTATCTGATCCCTGATCCAAATTGTGAAAGTGGAATAAGCTCAAACTCTGGACAAGTTAATTTCATCCCATCCCTACTGCAAAAAACATTCCCTGGAGATTCCAGTCTGCTACTCTTTGCACAATCCCTTACGAGAAGACGAGAAATGTTGCCCAGGGCAGAGATGCTGCTGCTTCATAGGACAAAAACAGAGGTTTAAACTCTAATTCCTTGCTTCTTTGGGTAGGGTTGGGGAAGGCTCCAGTCTGAAATTCTGGATAGTAGTCAATGGGCAATACGATATAAGGCAGTTTTCTGATAAATCATGTGGAAAAAAAATCAATGAAAATGAACTTTCATTGAGAAAATGAAAACAGTTTGCAACTTGAAGTGTTATTTATGTGTAAATTATAATAGTACACAGTTTGGCTTCCCACCTCACACCCTGGGGAAAAAACTTATCTGACTTAAATTTCTTTCTAGACTAGGGCAAAAATTATGAAGTTGGCAGAAGCAATGCATCAGATCCTTTTACTCCTGCCTCCCCACCAAATTCTGAAGCCAATTCTGAACAATTTCCTGTCACCCGAAGAGAAGCAAGTTGGAAATGAGGCAGGGGACATGGATCTGCTAGACTCCAATGGTTTTCCACTCCTATGGAATATTTGGTCCAGATGAATTTGGTTGTAATAAATAGGAAGAAAAAAGTAACAACAAGCTGCTTCTCTGAGCATATATAAAATCTGAATATGAAAATAGCAAAACGATATCTAATTTTTTTAAAAAAAATATACTATAATTGACAAATTGTTCTTTATATACCTTTCATTCATAAATTATCTGCCCATAAAATCCTGTTAAATTCCATAAGTTGGCATGGCTGAAATTGTCTTTTTTTTCTTTCTAAAATTTCAAGTCAGCAAAAAGTCAGCTAATTTGCAAACTGGCATTTCTCAGCACAGATATCCTTAGGGTGCTCAAAGACTTTTTCAATGATGTAACAAAATGATAAATAATAAGTTTTCTGGATGCACTCAAGAAATATTATTTATTTTCATGTGCTAGGAATAAATTCTGCTCCAAACACATTGAAGATAATAATATTATCATATTATTATATTATTATCATAATATTAATAAGATAACTATAAAAGTGAAAAGCATAAACTTTAGCTCCTAAATGAAAAGCAGGATATTAACCCAGTAAATAAACAAATGAAACAAACTTACGTCTGAGCCACTGTTTTCTAAGTCTCCTACTTTAGTTTGAATGCTATGGTATGCCTGAGCATACTGCTGATACCACTGCTGGACTGAATCCTACAAAAGGCAAATGCATTTTCAATTTTTTTTGATAACTATTATTTTGCCAATTGTTTCTCACCAAAAGAGTACAAGTTTTGCAAACCAGCTAACCCAATTATTATAGCATCAGTCTTGTTTCATTTAAAGCAAAAAAGTAATATTTAGATTACATCCCATATAAATTAATACATAATCAAACTGTAGCCACAAATTCTTTTTTTGCCAAATGATATCGAACTTCCAATATAATTTTCAAGTCTGCCAGGTTGTTTTTATACATTGCAGTTTGCAGGCCATTCTCTAGGGGCTTTGCTAACTAGAGAATACTAGCTTCAATTTACAGTACAGTATAGTTGTTAAGATTAGAAATTGGGGGCCATGCATTCTAGTCCTGCCTTGGTGCCTTGAGCCAGTCTCTATCTCTCATCGCTAGAAATGAGACAATGGCAAACCACTTCTGAAAAACCTTGCCAAGAAAACTTCAGGGATTTGTCCAAGAGGTCTCTGAGAACCAGATCCTGTTGAACAACAACAACAAAAGTCTTCCACAAAGGAAGAGTTTGCTTGATCTGTTCTTATGGTTAATGTTATGCCTTTTTTATCCTGTATTAAAATTGGCTCTTAACACAATGTTCTATTTGATTCATCACACCAGGTTTTCCCTAAGCAGCATGTTGTGAGTTACTTTATAGAGTCAGCAATTTATGCTTTTTTAATAATATCATATCATGCAAATACCCATTGTGTGTTTGAGAAGTGGTTTGGGAATCTTAGCTAGCTCGTAGGTCAAAGGAGAAGGCGTCCCAACAAATTTAAAATATCCAGAATCCAAAATCAGTGGCCTAGATTAAATAAGAGTGAGCCTTTCCTGGGTTTCTTTTGGGATTAGAAGAAGATAATTTCAAATGTTGTCTCATCAAATCAGCTCCTTTTACCAATGTTCTTATGCATGCCATAGCTGTGTTACACATCAGTGACAGAAACTATTATAGAAGCGGTGATGGATGTAGCTCTGGAGCTGATTCCAAGGATGCTAACAGTAGTACCACCACATTTGAAGACCACCTGCCTCTTTGTGCTTCTAAATCAGGGGTGTCAAACTAACATCGTCATGACAGAATCACGTGATGTATCAGAATTTCCCCCTCCTTTGATAATATGGGTGTGGGCGTGGCCAGCATGTGACATATCCAGCCCACGAGCCAGGAGTTTGACAGCCCTGTTCTAAATCATACAATCGAGTTCGTTATAGCTGTTGGCAACAGGATTTGGAATCTGTATAAATTACCTTGCACACTTTGTTTCTTCTTCTAAACTACCTAGAGAGATGCTGTTAAATTAACAGCTAATAGTTCTTGACAACTAAAACAAATAGGCACACTATACCATGAATGACCTTTAATTTGCAGGTCATTTCATTTCTTATTCACATGAATTTACTATCAGAATTCTTTTTGGATGTTAGTACCATATGGTTACAGTATGTTTTCCCCCCCAGGACAACAATATCACTATTTACTTGTATTCCAGTTGTTAGCACTGGGAATCTGATCTGTTCTGCAAATCTTGCTGATTGATGGTTCTCAATTATCTTCAGTCTAGAGAACTAATTCCTTCATAAGAAGCGTACATTGTCACCAGCTGCGGTGACATTATATATCTCTCACATACCTGTGTGTAATCGCTATACTGTCGTGAGAAGTTAAAAGAGTTTTCCACTGCATGCTGTGGTGTGTTTCCCTGAGCATTTACACTGTTGATTGAGTTGCTTGCAGCTACAGATTGTGGCTTAGTATTATTAGCTTTGTTGGGGACTGCTCCTAAATGAAGAAATTATAATTTATTAATAATTGGAACAAGGTATAAATAGTTTTAAATCCATTAGGTTCTCCCAAAGATCCTTAGAGTGGTACACAATCTCTACATGTACACAGTACAATATTAAGTAAATTCATAGGAAAACGAAGGCATAGAGCTATTCTTTTTAAAACAAAATAAGGCGCTATTTAGCATACAGTGATATCTCAGTACTTTACTGCTTCAAAACTCATCATGGTATTTGATGCATTTTGAAGCAAAAATGTTCTCTGAGTATTCATTGTTTGTTTGGTATGATTAGAAAAGGGGGACAGTTGTGGAGAACGGACAGGAAGTCAGCCCGCCGGGAAAGTTGCTACAAAAGGGAGAGAGGGAGGGCAGGAAGTCGACCATACTGGGAAGGTTGCTGACATAGGAAAAGGGGCAGACAGGAAGTGAACAAAGGGTCACGTGATAAATCATGTGGTTTGTTTGGCACTTGTCCTTTTTAGTAATCGTTGGGCCTCCTGGAACCAATTAACAATGAGTATCAAGATACCACTGTAATTCAAATCTCTCAGCTCTATTCCAAGAATTGTAAAACAGATATCTACCAACCCACTGGACATATATGGTAGATTATGATCAATAATTAGCCCATACTGCAGTGGATTGTATGACAATCAGCAGCAACAGCAGCAGCAATAACAACAGCTTTTTACTGTAAACTGTTCTTAAAGGCAAGTTCCAGATTTAAATTTTACCAAACAATATAATTGTATTATCTGCAAGTATCTCTTTGGCCCCTCCCTGCTTACCTGAAAGACACACAGAAGGCAGAACACTTGCTAAATTCAAGTAGGGATTTGTGCTGAGGTGTATTTCCTTAGGAGGTTCTCCAAGTAGAGAGGTTTGATTTTTGGAACAATTCTATAAAATAGATATATTTCATCACATAATTGCAACTGAAGTACGAAGTGATTTTCCATTAGAAAACTTCTCACATTATTAACTAAAAGTGTCATTACAATTTATTTAGCTATAAATTTATCTACTCTTTTTAAAGGGCAACACATAATTACTGTGTCAGATACACAAAAACACCCTTATCTGTGCTTTAAAGACATTATACGCTATTATTTAAGCTCTTGCATATATATCTGAGATAGAAATAAAAGGAAAACAAAAGTAAAGCATATATAGAAAAACCACGACACTGATTTGTCTATTCTCATATATAACATAAATGCCTATTGGATTTTTATGATTTTTTTCCCCTAAGTCTTCATCAAACTTTAAAAGCTTGAAAGGCAGAAGGGCAAACCCTCTTTCAAGCTGAATTGTTGGTATGCAACAGTCAGAGAATGTCTCTTCCTTTAGACAACAAAAATGTAGCATTCTTTCCTGTTCTACTGAATAGCAGGCTGGAAATTTTCAACTGAAGGAAACTAGTCTAGGAGCCCATACAGAGTATAATCCTTCCTTCTTAAAGGCAGAACGAATGACTACACAATCATCTTTGCTTAAAACAACCTTAAACCAGACTGGTAAAACCCGATTAGCCAGTTAACCTCTAGGCTGGGAGACAGATCTTTGTCCACCAAACTACTAAAAGGAAAACAGGGAACTATATGAACTCTCTTCTGAGCTACATCAAAGCAATGTCTTGATGTACAGGAAGAGGGAGATAACACAAATTTGATATGGTACTAAGGTTAAGTCATGCCACATAAAAAAGCAGAATAGGAAAGAGAAAATGGAAGCTGCCTGAAACAGCTTACATTACAAAATGTGTGTGATATTATGCTAATGGAAAGTATTAAAACGTTTGCTAAGTAAAATAAGATAGGAAAAATTGATATAAGAGAATAACTGCTGCTGTTGCAAAAAATGATGCAACACTGTAAAATAGAGATGTGTACAAAACAAACAGATAGCATGGGAGTCTGAACAAGTCATTCTGGATGAACTGAAGTTCAGCTGAACCTAAATGGACATTTTAAATACAAATGCTGGCAGCAACCTGTCTGTTGTAAAGAATGAGTATTTATTGAAAGAAGCAAAAATGTATGAATAGTCCTCCTGCTTTATTACAGCAAGTATGTATGTATGGGCATGTACATGCCGTCTTTTATCTTTATTTTTTATGTTTTACTGATTTGATTGTAGTTTGTTTGCTTGTTTGTCACCCAGAGCCCTTGAGTATTATCTGTTCACAACATGGAGTCACGGCTGCTAGTTCTTTAATTGGGGTAGATCTTCATATGCATCAAGTTCTTCCCAATGATAATTTACTAAATTATGTGTGGGTAATCTACAGTTAGATTTACAGTCTAAGACTGGTTAAAATTTAACAATTCAAGTCCTAACCAAGGACCTAAGGAATATTAAGGTAGGATCTAAGAATATAGGCAGTACCAAGCAGGGTGGGGTTTGTTTTTGTAAAATTGGGGTATTCAGGTCTGATAAATTCAGTATTTCCAGGTATTGAGGAAGCCTATGGTTCATTGCACAGTCAGATGTTTAGACTGGAATTGGCATTTTTATCTAACTGTTGAGTTCATTGCAGGAGAGAGAGATGTTGCTAGATGTTATTTATGCAGGATATAAACTGTTCCAAATAAAGTTGACTTTTACAATTGACATGAACCACATGCTGTTCAAGTGGTGCTCCAGATGCTTTGGAGATTGTACCCAAGGCGCCGGTTACTATTGGTACTAACCTAAAAAGACCCCATATTTTCCAGAAGATTGACACGTTTCAGAATTTGCCCCAAACTCTTAATAAATTGAAGGATCTTTTGTGATCTCTGAGCTTGTTTGTTTTCTTGCAGACATTTCATTACCCAAATTAGGTCAACATTATCAGTGCTAATAAGGAGTGCTGTTTGCTATCAGTTTATATTCTGGTGTCTTGCCTGTCTGGGTGGGTAGAAATTCTTTGAGCCCCAGTGGCGCAGTGGTTAGAGTGCAGTACATAGGCTACTTCTGCTGACTGTTGGCTGTCTGCAAATTGGCAATTCAAATCCCACCAGGGTCAAGGTTGACTCAGCTTTCTATCCTTCTGAGGTGGGTAAAATGAGGACCCAAAATTGTTGGGAGAAAAATGCTGATTCTGTAAACCACTTAGAGAGGGCTGTAAAGCTTTATGAAGCAATATATAAGTCTAAGTGCTATTGCTAGTGCTATTGGTTGGCCTGTTTACTGATGGCTCTTTGGCAGTTTCTTGATTGGGGTATTGATCGTTGGTCTGAAGTTAACCTATGAAGTTAATCTATGCTGATTTGAGTACTGATTACAGGTGGAGATGTTAATACTGTTAATAAACTCCAAATTAGCATCAAACGTTATGTGAACAGGAAAAAAACTAGTTTTAGGAAGGAAGAGGGAATTCAGAATAGATTCCTTCCTATCAGGTTGAACAGAGAGTACTTAGAAATGGGCAATTTGATATATGAAATGAGAGCAATTCTGGGTACTTAGACTAAAAAGGCAGAAACTGCAACTGAAAATATTAATTTGAGCTCAATAGGGTGAGCTCAAAATGCATATTATTACAGTTTATAAAAAATTGTGAAGATGAATGTAACAAATATTATGTTTGTGTGTAGAAAATGTAAGACAGAAGGAAAAAAGTAATAAACAGCTATTAGTATGAAACAAAAGAAAAACCACATTTTAAAAAAGTGTGTATTTTTGAATGAATATTCCCTAAATTGATGAAAACCATGCCTCTTTTATCTCAGAAAATGTTTCTTGAAAATGAAGACAGAAGCAGAATCGAAAGTTTCACAGGTCTGTTTGCAATTTTGTCAGTGAAATATAGACATATTATTCAGCAATTACCTTGTAAATCACATACATGCACATTATGTACATAATTTTAAAAAACAATAAACCATGATTTAACATATATTTCCAAGCCCTACATTATTGGGATTGTACCAGTTTAAAGATAAATGCGAAGAAATTTCTAGGCTTATGAAGATAATCTTAAATCAATCCTGTCATAAGTAAAGCTGTTCAGGTTTCAAATTTTGGTTTAAGAGGGAACTCTCCTTCAGATCAACTGCAATAAACTTGGTGGCATTAGGTGTCATGCTTGGCCGTGATTTATTTCACTAAAGTAGATTGAGTCAAACTTAACTGACTTTTTTCAATTGCATCCAAAACATGCGACTGCATTATGGCTTAGCATGATAGGCAAATTTCATCTTCTTGATATTTAACTACACTTAATGCAAATAGAGCAATTAATTGCAAATGACAGGAAACATTTTTCATTACTTCTCTACGTATTAATAAAAACCATTAGTCTTTCACTGTAATTTAGAAGTAATAATCTGTTTGAAAATGCTTTTTGCAATTAAGATTTGAACACTGATAAAACAATTGCAAAATGTCTTACTGGCTCAACGCTAATGAATATAAGTGCAAGAGAGAAAGGAAAAAGCTGAATCCAGTTTCCTTACACCAATGCTTGAGTCAGTATTCTTTGGCTGGTTCTGCGGCTGGAGTTGTCCTCCCTGAAAGCCTCCTGCAGCAACATTTGTTAAGCTCTGCAGATATGCTTGAGACCCAGAGCCAGCGCCTTCTGTCAGTTCCAGTGAAGATGGCAACTTCTCCTGGGTGTTAGCTTGCCTTGGCACTGCTTGCCCAGTAACATGCTGGTTTGGGAAGAATGGCAGTAAGCCAATCCCTGCTGCCACTGTCGTTGGAGTTGGAGTCTGGTGAGATACTGCAGAATCAACCATAAATAGAAAAAACTGTTATAGAACAGAACACTGGGTATACTACATGAAAAGCACTAAGGTTCATATTTGCAACAAATTATTGAAGTATATTTACTTACTGAATACTGTACAAGACAATTGAAGAATACATAGGAACGCCATATTGTTCACATTTTATACACCAATTTTTGAAGAAAATTCTGGTTGTGATTTGCCCTAAGAACGGAATTCTGGATGATAGCAGTCATCCTATTTTTTTTAAGTTCAAAACAATGTTGGTCTTTTTGAGATGTACAATAATATTTAGTTTGATCACTAATTAATAAATGACATCCACATACCATTTGTTTCTTGAAATACTGCTAATGATAATTATATTTTAAAGAACACTGTAATTGTTTTAAACTTCTGTTTCAAATTTCTGAAGGGAAAAATATAAAGTGAAAAGATTTTATTTTAAGTCTAAAATTTCTGTAGTGTTGCTACAATAAGGCATATTTATCTGAGAGAAAGTCTACTGAATACATTGTAACTTTTAAATAAATATGAATAAGGGCACAATATAGTGTGTGAAATTAGTACACATAATACAATTTTATTTTTATTTTTTGTATTATGTTTTAAAGGTTTAAAATGTTTTTATGATTGTTCACCACCCAGAGTCACTGGTTTGAGATGGGTGGCTATGCAAATTGAATAAATATATAAAGTATAAAGGTGAAGCCACTATTTCTGCCCTGGGCAAAAATAATTAAATATCTGGCTATTAAGATATTTAATATTGAATTATACCCCTAAAATTGTGTCCCTAAAATTATCACATGACTATCGAATGCTGTGACAGTTGTAAATATGAGCAATTTTTAATAATGTTATAACTTTAAATGGTTGCTAAATGAGGCCATCAGTATGTAGGACTACCTATATTTTCAAAGTGAATTTCTACTACTATAATAGGAAACAAAATGTCACTTGCATTGTTCTCCTTGACTCCCTATGTCTGTGGCCACTTGTGGTAAAGGCCCCATTCCTAACATTGTTTGAAGCAACATAGCTGGAGGCTCTCCAAGCAAACTTGGTTTCTACAAAGAAAAAGAATTATAGATTACTTTTTAAAATGTATTTGATTAAAATTGTTCCAAAGATTTCCAATGCATACATTGTTTTACCATATTAGCTGATAACAGAAGACAAAGAAAAAAGAAATACTACTACTGCTACTATTATTGGCAACAAAAATATGAATTACAAGATATTTTCATTCTTCATTTTATCCAGGAGTTTGGCCTAAATTATAAGTACAAGGTTATTTAACTCACACAATTAGGTTGTATATTCTCAATCTTTGATAGTGGTACCATATGTAGATGTGACAAATTTTGTAGCAATAAATTTGATGCATTTCCAAAAACAGGGCCCTGTAACATTGAAAGGAATAGAATTATATATGAGTTACATACATATGAAACAAATATTATTCCAAGCAAGAGAAAGAGATAAAGATAAAAAAATCATTTCATATATATATTTCACCAACTATATGATTCAATCTTCAAAATTTAGAATTCCTTTCAACATTAAAGATGTATCACATATTTGTGAAATGACAACTATTGAGATAGGTCATTGCTTATCTCTTTGGGATAGCTACTAAATTTTCCTTCTGAAAACACATTCCTATTTTTCATTTTACTTTTCTAAAATATGGTAAAATGTAGGAGGCATGGTGGCACAGTGGTTGGAATACAGATTGCAGGCTAATTCTCCCAACTGCCAGAAGCTCGATTCTCATCAGCTCAAGATTAACTCAGCCTTCCATCCTTCTGAGGTCGATAAAATGAAGACCAAGATTGTTGGGGACAATATGCTGACTCGGTAAACCACATAGAGGGCTGGCTGTAAAGCATTGTGAAATAGTATATAAGTGCTATTGCTAAAATATGTAACCTATAAGTGAATTTTTTTTAAAAAAATGTAAACACATTCCTCTTAATGAAAACAATCAAATTATGGCTGTTTAAGTTTTCCACTACAGATTTGATCTTGGTTATTTTCAAATATTAGGAAGAAGTAATATTACAGATGTGCTTTCCTATTTCAAAGGACGGATATAAATGTAAATAACTGAAAATTAAAACTAGTTGTTTTTCAACAAGTGGCAGCAACTGATTGAACCTTGTCCAGGATAAGAATTTAAATAAGGTTAATCCTGTTTTTTATTTAGATGGCAGACTACCAGTAAATATTAGGTCTGTAAGTTACACTGGGCAGTTGAAAAAATAAACCAGAAGGTGGCCATGCAAACCACTTCTGTATTACAGGTAGGCCTTGACTTACAACCATTCATTTAGTGACCATTCAAAGTTACAATGGGCCAAAAAAAGTGATTTATGACCATTTTTGACACTAATCATCATTGCTGCATTCCCATCGTCATGTGATCACATGATTCTGAATGTATTTATGACAGTTGCATTGTTTCCAACAAAGTCAATAGCCAAAACCACTTAACAATTGCATGATTCGCTCAACACCAGCAGTGATGCACTTAACAACTGCGGCAAAAAAAGTCATAACATGAGGCACAAGTCACTTAACAATAACCTTGCTTCATAATGGAAATTTTGGGCTCAAAATTTGGTTGTAAGTCAAGTTCTACTTGTATTACTAAGAAAACAATAAGGGCCTAATTTGAGAGGATCTACTTTTTAAGATAGCTACACTATATATTCCCAAATTATGTAAATAAGCAAACAAAAGATTCAAACCATTATTTAAAATAATCAAATAATCCCTGTTTTATAAAGTTTAAACCAGCAGAACTCTGTATATGCCAGAGACTGCAACTTCCAACTAGCAGCCTCCTAGTAGCTTTCTGGTGCTTTGACATTACTAGAAGTGGCAGGACAATGGATTTAAGATTTGATTGCATGGGAAACATTTCATTTCCTAGAGTCCTTTGAATCCCGTTCTCTTCCCCCCTACTTTTTTTTTAAAAATTAATCCCCAAAAGATGATGCTAGAAGAAAACTTTGCTGCCAAAATTCAGCAAGACAAACTTTGAGGTAGTAAGGTATGCAGTCTATCAGTAGCTCTTTTTGAGATTAAGAAAATATATCTTCCACATCATAAAGTAAGTACATTATGTACTATGTCACTATATAATCTTGAAAATAAGTTTATTTTTGTTTGTTTGTTTGTATGTATGCATGTATCTGTATCCCATCTTTATTATTTTTTACAAATAACTCAAGGCAGCAAACATATCCAACACAACTTTTTCCTCCTATTTTCTCCACAATAACAACCTTGTGAGGTGGGTTGGGCTGAGAGAAAGAGTGGCTGGCCCAAAGTCACCCAGCTGCTTTCATGGCTAAGGTAAGGCTAGAACTCATACTTTCCCAGTGTCTACCCTGGCATCTTAACCACTAAACCAAACTGCCTCTAGTTATTTATTATTCTACATCTTGGCTAATAAGGATTAAGAAAATAGATTTTATCCATTACTGTATTAATTGATAATTCATTCTAATACTTATTAGATCAACTATTATGATTTTCAAAATATTTATTTTTCCCCCTTTGTCTACTCTTTAAAAAAAATGAAGTGTAAAATAGTGAGTCTGTTGTTTGGGATTGGTAAAGAGTTTGACTCCAATACCACCTGAAAGGGCAGCAGGTTTCCCATGCACATTTGAAACACACTTTAAAATGAAGAAACCCTGTGGTAAAGCACTTATTTGGCCAATTATGGGGAGTCACTGAGTTCAAAAAAAATCTGAGTAACAAGTTTTTCAGTATTTAAGTCTCTTCTTCTTCTTTCATTTAGTTTACTTTATTGTCATTGCACCTCGTACAACGAAATCAAACACCATCTTCAGCGCACATCATGACCATGATCATGACCATGAAAATAAACACAAACACACATCCTTCACCCACCACACATTGAACCGACCCCCCCCCCCCGACACCACACCAACACTGCACTATACAGCAGAATTCAAGAGAGCTACTGCCCTGGGATAGAAGCTGTTTTTCAGCCTATTTGCCCTTGTTTTGATTATTCTGTACTGTCTGCCAGATGGTAATAGTTCAAAAAAATGGTTCCCAGGATGAGATGGCTTTGAGAATGTTCTGAACTTTCTTAAGGCAGCAGGAGCATAAAGCTCTTCCAAAGAGGGGAGAGGGCAACCAGTGATCTTCTGGGCAATGATGTTAACCCTCTGGAGTGCTTTCGTATCTGCCACTGTGCAATTGGCAAACCGTACAGAGGTGCAGTATGTTAAAATGCTCTCTATGGTGCAGCGGTAGCAGGTCACCAGCAGTTTCTCATTCAGTTGTTTTCTGAGAAACCTCAGTAGTATAATCTCTGCTGGGCCCTTTTGACCAGGGCTGCAATGTGGGCACCCCAGGTCAGGTCCTCTTTTAGGGTAACACCCAGAAACTTAAAATTGGCCACTTGCTCCACTCAGTCTCCATTGATAAGCAAGGGCTGGATGTCTGATCTGTTCCTTCTATAATCCACTATAAGCTCCTTGGTCTTATTGGTGTTGAGGACCAAGTCGTTGTCTCCACACTATGAAAGCAACCGGTCCACCTCATCTCGGTAGGCAGACTCATCCCCCCCCTGGAGATAAGTCCCACCACTGTTGTATCATCTGCAAATTTAGCAATAGTATTACTAACGTGAGTGGGAATGCAGTCATGCACATAAAGAGTATAGAGTACATAAAGAGTACAGAGTAAGGGACTCAACATGCAACCCTGTGGTGTACCGTGTTAAGAATAAGGGCTGAAAAGGTATGATTACCTAATCTGACCTTCTGTGAACGGCCAGACAAGAAATCCATAATCCAAAGGTGGATTGAATTAGAAAGCCCAAGGTCCAGAAGTTTAGACAATAGTCTATGTGGAAGAATTGTGTTAAACACAGAACTAAAATCCACAAAAAGCATCCTCACATCACCCTCCTGCTGGTCTAGATGAGTCAGAGCAGTGTGAAGAGTGATGGCTATAGCATCCTCTGTAGATCTATTTTTTTCTGTATGCAAACTGGTGTTTATCAAATGTATGTGGAAGACCAGAAATGATGTGCTGGCAGACCAATTTCTCAAAGCACCTCATGATGATAGGAGTGAGTGCCACTGGTCTGTAATTGTTGAGGTTATTGATAGGGAACTTCTTTGGCGGCAGAACAATGGTGGAAGCCTTCAAACAAGATGGAATAGTGGACTGGGATAAAGACCGATTGAAGATCCTGGTAAAGACTCCAGCCAACTGATCAGCACAGTCTTTAAGCACTCGGCCAGAGTTACCGTCAGGACTGGCAGCCTTTCTAGGGTCCATAGCCCTCAGAATGCTCCTCACCTCCTGTTCCTCCACAATGAGGTGGGGGCTACAATTGGCTGGTAGTTGTGTTTTATCTGATGTTTCCACTTCAAAGCGAGCAAAGAAATGATTCAGTTCCTCTGCCAATGAAGCATCCCCCTCAGCAGGGGTGACATTGATCGGTTGATGGTTTGTAATTTGTTGAATCCCTCACCACACCTGCCTCATGTTATTGCTATAAAAATTATCCTCAATCTTCCTCTTATAATCTGTCTTGGCCTTCCAAATACCTTTCTTCAGATTAGCTCTGGTAACACTGTATCTTGCCCCATCACTGGACCTAAAGGCCTTGATCCTGTCATGCAAGAGGTGCTGGGCTTTCTTGGTCATCCAGGATTTCTGATTGGGATCGATCCTAATATGTTTATCCACAGTGATAGTATCTGTGCAATGTTTGATATAGCACAGAACAGTTGCAGCGTGCACCTCTAGGTCAGGATGGTAAAAGATGTCCCAATTTGTGTTCTCAAACAATCCTGAAGTTGTTGGGAAGCATCTTCTGGCCAAGATTTCACTGTCTTTATTATAGGCAGAACCCGTCTCCTAAGAGGGACATAAGCTGGTGCTAAAAGCAGTGACATATGGTCTGTCCCAAATGTGATAATTGTATAACCTTATAGCCATGTTTGATGTTGGTATATACTTTGTCCAATATGTTTGCTCTTCTAGTAGCACACTTAACATGATGATAGAATTTAGGGAGCACTTCTTTTAAATCAGCTTGATTAAAGTCCCCCACTATGATATGCACAGCATCAGGATACTTATTCTGCTGATTATTAACCATGTTATGCAAGAATCCCAAAGCTATAGTAGTATTGGCATCAGGTGGGATATAGACTGCAGTAATCAAAACCACACTGAATTCCCGTGGAAGATATATGGGTCTACATTTAAGTGTCATATACTCCAGATCCATGGAGCAGTGGCTGTCTACAGTCTTTGTACTGATATACCAGCTTTTGTTCACATAAAGGCTTAAACCTCCCCCTTTGATCTTGCCAGAATCTCTACTCCTGTCCTGCCGGTGAGCTATGTAGCCTTTCAGCTCAACAGCTGCATCTGGAATGAGTGAATGAAGCCAAGTTTCTGTGATTAGCAAAACACAGCAGTTCTTGATGAATTTAGTCTTTGCAATCTGTAGCCTTAATTCATCCATTTTGTTAGTCAGAGATCTTGCATTGGTAAGAAATATACTTGGAATTGAAGGCTTGTGTGGAAACTTACTCAGCCTAAAGAAAACCCCAGCACAGCATTCTCTCTTCCTCTTCCTGTTCTTCTTTCTACGCCTCTTCCTCCTTCCTACAGGGATGATGATCCATGGCTCCCCCAGGGGCCTAGCTGCCTCCTTCAGTATGTTATGAGAATGTATAAAATCATCCATAATAGCCTTTTCACATTTCAGTCCAATTTGTAACAAGGCTTGCCGACTATAGATGCTCCTTGACCCACAGGATTCAATCAAGGAAAGGATCCAAAACACACACAGAATCATACACACCATGCACTTCTTCTTGTGCCATATCCGTCATCGGACGTTGACGATCCTATTTTTATCAACAGCCGCACAAAAAAGTGCTGTTGAGTTTTGTCCAAATCAGTCTCTTAGCTCATTTTGAAGCTAAAATGTAGTATTTAAGTATAAAATAAAATCTTTCTCTGATGGTATCACAAGTATGTTATGAAAAAAATATGATCATAATAGCTAACTTCAGATTTTTAGCTCTCTTTAATCAGAAATCTTCCTTTCTATTGTTCTACTGCAAAACAAAACAGGTTATTTATGATATAAGGTATGTCAAATCCAAGTAAGGTACTGAATAACCTCAGCAGTATGATTTCTGTTATGCACAATGTTTTTTTCCTTCAAGCTAAATAGAGTACAATTATAATACAGAGATAAATCAATTATTCAGTTTGTTTTGTAACAACTTCTCACGTTTCTTATATTTGTTACTTTAATAAGAAAATCAAGATCATGTTTTGTCTCTGCTCTCTGGCGAGCAAATTCTATAAATTAAATTTCAGAATACATAAAACAGATGTTTCAATTAAGAAGTCAAGATAAATTCTGTAATAATTTAGCATTCCATATTGGAGAATCTAATTACCTCCTATTGCTATTATTCTGATAATACACTAAAAGTCTAACTCCTATCACACATCTGCTTCACCGATATATGTTATCTATAAACATACCTGATTATTCAAATGCAAAAAGGCTGGACCGATTGATGGATTTACAAGGTGAGGCACATTCATGGGAGCTCCTAGGACTATTTTAGAAAAAAAAAATAACCGGATTTATCATAAATTTACTTATAATACCTATATTAAGATAATATAAGAATAACTAAACATTATTTTAAAGGGCTTATCTTTGGCAATATTTCTCCATAATCAGACATGTAAATAACTGAGCTTCAGCAGTTGCTTGAGTCTGTTTTTGTCTAATATGGTAGAATGGCAGACACTATAATTTCTCTTAGGAAATTGAAAACCATCCTCACTGCTTCTATTCCAGTACAAAATTCATGTACACAATTATGCTGATATAACATACATGGTTTTATAGGGAACTTTGGTATAATTTAGGTTTGGCTTTTCCCAGGGAGATAAGGCATCACCTTTTCCTATATTTCCAAATCTTCAAGGAGATGCATATTAAAAGCTGAAGGGATGGATATAATTATGTACTATTTATTGCTTCCCTCCCTTCCCAAATAATCAAAAAAGCTTTTTTAAAAATCTGAAACAAAAAGGTAAATTCTGCAAGCTTTGCTCATTATTTATAGTTTCAGCAACATATGTGATGATTTATCTTCTGTACCTATATAGCTAATTTCTAAGGCCTGACTGACAGCTTCATTTTTAAATTTCAAACTTTGTAAACATGTATTATTTCCATATAGTTTCTTATTCCAATACAAGAACAACTGAGAGCTTCATATAGCTTTTGCAGGAAGCTTTAGTAGGGTGACTATGAGACAAAGGATGGCCACTCCTTTAAAGCAAAAAACAAACAAACAAACAAACAAAACAGGGCTCAGATCTGCCTATATTTCATCTGAAGTCCCCTGTAAATTCTTCAATATCATCTGAGATAAGTTAAGGTTTTCCACACTCAGTGGGAACTTCAAGTTATTTGATATCAATGCTAAATATATATATATATATATATATATATATATATATATTTAAAAAATGGAAAAAGAGGAAAGGTGTATAATTGCTCTGGTTCCTTCCCACCCATGCTGTTGTTTTATGAAATTAATATACAACGGAAATTCTAAATTATTTCAGAGTACGTATTATCAAACATTACCAAGTTTATTAGCACATCCATGCATCTGATGCCGTAACAACATCTGCAACATGGCTGGAGTATTTAAGCTTTTCATGATTTGCACAGCATTTGGTTCTGGAAGTAACCCTTTTCGGTTGTTTTTCATCTTGAACAAAGGAGAAATTAAAAAGAAACTGAGTTTCACAAATAAAAGAAGATATTAATATCTGTTTGTTTCAAGTGGTTTCATTGTGCATAAACAGCACAAAGTAGCAATGAGAAAATTCAAAATCAGCAGTGGCAAAAAAAATCTTAAGATAGATGAAGCTTTATAGAATCATTGAAGCTTTCAAGTTTCAACATTTCATTACACAAACAGGTTTTTTTTAGGGAAAGAAGACATATGACTAACGTTTCTAGTTGCAGAACCACTCTCTGTAATGTTTGCAAAATTCTGGAGAAAGGCAAGATCCCAGAAGACTAGAGAAGAACTCACCGTCCTTATTTTCAGAAAGAATAAGAAGAAATAGAACCTGGACCTAGGAGCATAAGACTGGCATTTATTAACAGGAGTCTTGCAAGACTAAGTTGATCTCCTTAGATTGGTTGATCAAGGAAATGCTCTGGATATAATATATCTTGACTTCAAGCAAGGCTTTTCATAAAGTCTTTCATAGGATCCTTACCAGGGGTGGGCTTCAAAAAATTTAGCAACCGGTTCTCTGACTGGTTGCTGGGTGGGCACGGCCATTGTGGGTGTGGCCTAGTCAGCCTCCTGCACCATGGAGGGAGGGCCATTTTTATCCTCTCTGGGCTCTGGAGGCTTTCCTCGAGCCTCCGGGAGAGTGAAAAATGGCCTTCCCGGGCTCCGGAGACTCCCATTTCCGGCCTTCCAGAGCTTCCGGGATGCCTGTTTTTCACCCTCCTTGAGCCTCCCCATGGGCCCTCCACTTAACTGGGAACCAAAATGGACTGCGTAGAGACTCCTGGGAGGGGAAGGGTGGGGTGGGCACAGGGCCATCCAGTCGTTGCAACTACCTGTTCAGCAAACCAGATGTAAAATTATCATCCGGTTTGCCCAAACCGATGCAAACCGGTAGCAGCCCACCCCTGATCCTTACCAACAAAATGGACAAATCTGGGTTTGACAGTTCAGTGATTAGATGGATCCACAATTGGCTCAATGATTGTAGTCAAATGATAGATATAAATAGCACATCTACTTGGAGAACATCTTGATTTGGGGTTTCAAAGGACTCTAACCTGGGCCCAGATGTTTTTTATAAACAATATGGATGAGAGTATTGAAGGAATGCTTACCAAATTTTCAGATGATGCAAAGCTAGGATTGGCTAATATGTGTCAGGAGAGAGAAAGAATTCGAAAATACAGGCTAGAACAGTCGGCAAAAACAAATAACAATGGCATGTAACAGTGAGAAATTTAAAGTCATGCCATTAGTAAGAAAAAGGAAATGAATGTATGTATGTATGTATGTATATGTATATGTATCTTTGGTTATTCGGGTTTTCTCCTGCGTAAGATTGGAAGTATCTAGGCAACGTTTCGATGAAGTCTCATTCATCATCTTCAGGCTTGTGTCTTCGGCTCTGTGCTTCTCAGAGGCACTCTGAGGCACTCTGAGAAGCACAGAGCCGAAGACACAAGCCTGAAGATGATGAATGAGACTTCATTGAAATGTTGCCTAGATACTCCCAATCTTACATGGGAGAAAACCCGAATAACCAAAGATACACATACAAATACCCACGAGAACCTCAGAAAACACACACACACACACACACACACACACACACATACACACACAATATATATATACACATATATATATGTGTGTGTGTGTGTGTGTGTGTGAATAGCTTGGACATATAGAGGTTCCCGAGATCAACATGTCCCACTTGTGTAATGTAGCTGCAAAGAAAGCCAACACATCTTGAAGAGCATTAAGAAAAGCAAAGAGTCCAGATTTCAGGAACCAATTTTCCTGCTCTACATTGTCTTAATCACTACACCAAATTGGACCTCATAATTTTTTGAATTAAATTTATATGCCACCCATCTCACTATCCAATGTAATTCTGGGTAGCACAAACATTTAATAAAGAAATAAAATTGTATGGACAAAGTATAATGATAACTGCAGCTAAACCCAGACCAGAAAGGCAAACATTGTCAGGCTATTTTGCTTTTCACTCAATTTTCAGGAGCAGCTCATAGATCTGACTCAGAAGAAACTGAGAAAAGAAAAATGTTATGCATACACAGAGCAAGTCTTACAGCAAACAGAGACCATTAAACAAATAGAAAAGTCACAAGTCTACATGGAAACAAAACCTGAATCAGAGATCCATTAACTTTGGGCTACACATAATTGTGGCAATCTATATATATATAAAAGCGAAATACCACTCACGCATCATCACAAAATCTTCAGAACCATAAAGCCTACAAACTTGAAATTTGGCACGTATGTTCCTCTTGGCTTCTAAGTGCTCACTAAGAAAGGGTTTTTTGAAATGACCCTCAGAGCATTAGTATTTCATATATTATTATTAACACGCTCTGATGCTAAGGAGTTCTACTCCCCCTCCCCAGCTGAAAAGAAATCTGTTCCAAATGTAAAACACAAGCAGAGGAGTTTCAGTTTTAGTTTCACAGCAGCAACCAGCTTTACTACAGAACAGTTGATTTAAGCCAGGCTCAGGCTTCTTGCTGTCTCCTTCTTGCTCACACAACAAATACTGTTTCAGTTTCCATGTTTCAGTTTCAAAACAGCCCTTAATTCTCTCACACACTGACAGAATGCTAGCCAGATGTATACTGATGGATGCTGGTAGGCAGAGGCAGAATTATTTCCTCCTTATTTTCCTCCCCCAAAACTAAGCCCAACCACATAGTTTCGTAGCAAAGCATGGGTGTCGAGCTAGTAGTCGTATACAATTAATATAATAAATATTCTGTGTTTACTTTTACAGTACAAACTTTTTTACCATTCGTTGTGCTGCTATAAGTGTAGCAAGAGTACTGCGGCCAGGAGCTCCAGGAGCACAATAAGACACGTGGACTACTTTTTCGTTGATAGTTAAACCATCTGTGCTTTGCTGCACTTCCTCTGTTTGTTCTGCTGTCTCATACTCAATTACTGCAAAGCCACCAACAGAGCTGTCTTCATCCTGAGCAAGCTGGAAGGACATTTCACAACACCATGAAAAGAGGTCTGTTCTGTTTCAGCTGTTCCAAAAACCATTACATTATTCCAACTTTATAACCTGTAAGCCTTGAATGAGATAAATTAACATGCAGATCATTCCTCGATTCAAAGTTAATCTAATACACAAATATTCATACCCAATCAGCGGTGGTATTCTATTGGTTTGGCCCGGTTCTGCCGAGCCAATAGCAGCGATGAGCAACAGAGACCATGCTGTATGTTGGGCCCACCTGCCCTGCCGGACTCCCATACTCACCTTTATGTCCTGCTTTTGAAGCGCAGCTGCTTTGCGCGGCACAGCAATTGCTGTGCGGCAGCTGCTGAAGAGTCAGGGAGAGTGCAGCATTGCAGGAGGTGACTCAAAATGCCTCTTTGCCAGTGCAAACTGTGTGCGTGCGCACAAAGCACGCCCACCAAACCAGTGGTAGAAATATTTGAAACTCACCACTGCCCCCAATAAATACTAAATACAATAAAATATGAATAAAAACAATAGGTACTGCCAATTTCATGAATAACCTGAGCTAATGATTTTGGGATTTATAGGAATCTGCACCCTAAAATAAGGAGACAAATGCTTTCGTTCTTTTAAGGGAAGTGCAGAAGGACACGTGACTGAAAGTGACAAAAGCCTACAACAATACCATTTCAAACAATACCAAAGCCAGGCCAATAAATACACACATATATATTAAGAACATTAAACAAGTTAATCAATTCAGTCGGCCAAAAAGGAAACTTTCTACAGTCAGAAGCAGAAAGCTCACGATTTTCAAACCTCTAAGGTCTAATGGAATAACTATATTTTAATGGCCTCTAGCAAAACCAATAGGAAAAAGTCCATTCTGATATCTGGAAGGAGTCCTCTTCCACAGAAGGTGAGAAAGTTTGTTTCTTTGAATACCTGGAGGTGTCATTACTTGAATAAAGAGATTTGGAGGGATTCCACTCTACCTGATTTTATCAGTGGCAGATATTATTGGAGTAAGCAGTCCCATAGATATTCTTATAGGATTTATGGTTAGTTAAGCAGCAGAATCATGTGATTGCCTGAATAATTAAGTATCCCTGCCTATTGGGTAGTAGAAATGTGGAGGTGCAGCGTTTTGATGGAAACAAGACAGTAAAAACAAGTTAAATTATGTGGGGTTGTGCTTCTTGGTAATCTATAACTGCAGTCCTTTCCCTTTGCTGCCCCTCCCACTTCAAGTAAAGTCAGCGTGTGCTGATAAGACACATAATATAAAGAAAACTAGTATCCCTTTGAACCAGAGAGAAGACTCAGAATGCAAGAGCTACTCATAGTTCTTATTCTCTCTTAGACATAGGAATAAGGATAATTTCTCTCCTGGTCAAAGACTGATTTGCAGTAAAGCTGCAACTGCGCTTTCTGTTCTCTGGAGGTAAATCTCACTGTTCTCTTTCATCTTTTCTCTAGGTCTAAGGCAGGGGTGTCCAACTTTGGCTTTGCTGGCTGAGGAATTCTGGGAGTTGAAGTCCACAAGTCTTAAAGTTGCCAAGGTTGGACACCCCTGGTCTAAGGCATTCACACCCAATTAATGAAAATATATTTTCTCAAAGTGAAAAAAGAATAATATCTAGGAAGGAACGTGGTTGGGAGTAATGCCCACATCATTCCCCCCACACACTGCTTTCTGTAGCTTTCCCCATTTCATATTCACCTCACTACTCCTTGCTGGTGTTTTAGTTTTTTTCAACGGGCATCACCACACTTGAAAACAGTTAGAAATTCAGTCTCTCATCCCTATATACAGGAAAGAGTGGAAATACCAAAGAAGTAAGGCATGCATTTTTATTCTCCCCATTTCCTCTCCCTCTCTAGCCTTTGATGTTAAATATGCTCACTTTGGAGGTTCAATTCTTGAACAGCTCCATAATCTTCCACTTGGAAGAAAGTCTGATCAATCTGAGAAAGAACAACAGAAGACTAACTGAAAGCTCTTTGAAGTTCATTCATGATAAAAAAGGGACAACAAAAAAGATTGTGGTCTTTGAGAAATTGCTTGTTATTGTCAGAAAGCACGTGGACAGCAAACTGTACTTTATCCTGTTATGATGGTTGTTTTGTAAAGTAAATGTAAAGGTTTCCCCTAAGCCAGTCAATTCTGACTCTAGGGAGTGGTGCTCATCTCCATTTCTTAGCCGAGGGACCCAGCGTTGCCTGAAGACATTTCTGTGGTCATGTGGCCAGCATGACTATACACTGAGCAGGGGTCTCCAACCTTGGAGACTCCTGCTCATTTAAGACTTGTGGACTTCAACTCCATAGATCTTAAAGTTGCCAAGGTTGGAGACCCTTGCACTGAGACCCTGTTACCTTCCCTTCTAAATGGTACTTATTCACATTTGCATGCTTTCAAACTGCTAGGTGGGCAGGAGCTGGAGCAAGTAACAGGAGCTCACCTCATTGCACGGCACCTGGGTCTTGAACCCAAACTCTCCTCTTTCCAGCTGACAAGCTCAGCATCTTTAACCACAGAGCCATCTTTCGTGTGTAAATGTATAAACATGATTACAACATGCATATGGACTTAATTATCCTTAATTTTTCCTCATGGAAGGTGCAAATCCTCTTTGGGATTTTTTCCATTTCCAAAGAAAGTACGAATGGCATTGTTTTTTATGTAATTAACTAATAAAGGCAGACATTGTTCAAAAGTATGCTCTCCCTCCTGTTTCAGTAGTTAGCAAGAGAATTAAAATATCCTTAATAAAAAGAGCGGGGGTGGGGGGGAATGAAAAGCATCAATATTTGTACTGATATTGCCAGTCCGTGATTGATAATGACACAGCAATTTATCCATCACTTTCAAAAGGTCTTAAAGAATCTTCATCTGCTCAACCCCCACAGGAAATATAGAGCTCGGCAGTACTCATTTCATGCCAACTGAGAACTTTTCCCCTTTGATAAACAAGTGGCAGCTGTTCATTCTGTCCTATAAACTCTCTCTAGAACAATATAAAAACATAAATAGGTATAATCCACCTGTGCAAACCTTGTCAAAGTGGATGAAAGTTCCTAGAAAACAATGCCAGCCACTAGGATTGTTCCAAAATAGATTAACAAGTAAAACATTACTGGGAAAAATCCTCAGATAATAACATTCTGCCACAGAACAAAAACACCATCTATAAACAAAATCAGAATAAAGTTTAGAAAAATAACAACTGTGAAATAACACAGCCTGCAGCTGAAAGGACAGTTACGATAAATATCTTTGCAACATGCCAGAAGAAGCGCAAAGACAGCTGGATCACATGTAAATCTATCCAGCCCAATATTTTGTTCCCACGGTTGCCAAGTAGATGTCTGGAAAGAACACAAGCAGAACACGAGTGCAGGGACATCTTTCTACACTTTTCCTCAACAATTGGCACTGAGAGGTACATTGCATCCATTTCTGGAAGGCAAGATACAGACATTAAAACTAGCAACTATCAGTATCTTATTTTCCATGAATATTTCTATCACTATGCTTTGTAATTTTAAATAGGTACGGTAACCTTTATTGTTATTTTTTTCTGTGGGACTCTGGCACACATTAAAAATGAAATTCAGCTGCCTGCTCTCAAAAGTGTACACATACATAACACATATAGAGATATGCTATGCACATTCATATGTATATACCTACACCCTAACATATAAATATTAATCACTGTCCATCTTAATCACTGTCCATAGTGGGAAGAGGAAGCTTGAGAATTCACAAGGTTGATACTGTATGGAACAAAATTGTGGCTGAATCTGGATGTTCTGCTTCGGATACCATGATGTTTTCTCCCAAAAGATAGCAAGGAATGCCATTGTTTCAAACTTATCTTGATCAAGATGCACTTCTCCATATTTATTTTGAATTTCCTAGGTTTCAGTGAAGCATTCAATTTCTTTGGACAGCACTCGTTTATTCTATGGTATGATTAAGCTCCTTATTCTTTTTTCTCCAAAGAGCCCTTGATTCCTTATGCTTAACATTTAGCCCTCTTCTGCATTATATTGTTTTTGAAGAAAAGTTTCTGAGTCGTGGTAATGGAAGACTATGTGGGATTCCAAGGGGTTATAAAGTAAATAGCATTGCTTTTTCTGGTAAATCAAAGCCAGGTCACATCCAACCTTTTTATATATAGGGTTTTTTTTGTTACTTCCCTTGTTAGTCCTTAATATTGAACTGCAATTAACAGAATAAAATTTATATCCCTTCCATTCAAATTGTTTATCCCTAACCATATAATTTATTAACAAAACCAATATCATTAACTGCAATAAAAATTTATTCTGTTGGAAGAACCGAGAAAAGATCACATGGTCTACACTGGAAAAAAGGTTGGCTATGAGTAGGAAAGGACATAAACCATTGATTTCTTTTTCTAATCTAGCACTTCCCATCACTCATTTTGGATGGAAAAACTTCCATCTGTGATTCCCAGTACGCATTTTAATGGAAATTCATACTCTGTTACTGTATCTTAAGAAAGGGATCAATAACATTTTAGGAAGAAGGCATCACTGCACAATTCTGTGCAGTGTTGTGAGTGTCAAAAAATAGTTTTTCTTAAATAAACATTAAAATGTTAAAAAATCAAAATAAAATACAAGTTTTGCAAATGTAATATTTTGATGTAATGAAGCTTTTTTTCCTAGTCCATCTCTCAGAACTTTAAATTTTCCTAGATTTTATTTTTAAACAAGCTGTAGTTTCTCTTGAATAGCAATTTTATATATGTTTAAATAAGTTACTATCATATCAATGACATGTTAGTTGAGATATTCATTTATGTAATTTTCAGGCGATCATTGTCAAATCTAATTAATAGTGCATAGAGTTACAAATATATAACTACTCATTAATGTGACCATATTAATCTGGAAATCAAGGGAAAGTCCATGCTACATCATTCAATCACAACATCGTTGAAGACAGCTTTTACTTTGAAGCATTTTACTTACTTGGTAGAACACAGGTTTATATTTAGTTGAGAAATTTTGCAAGAGGTCATCACCAGTATAGTCTATAGGAAGATTTTCCACACAAAGGCACTTTGAATGTACGAGTTCTGGAGTTATTTGATTAGCATCCATCCACTGTGCGAAAAGGACATTTTCACCTAATGGTTTCCCAAGAAGGTCCAGCCTAGCCTTTGCTGCAGAATCCTTTTTCATGTATTCCACAAAACCATAGCCCTTGGAATAGCCCGTGACTTCACTGTATACCAAGAAATGTCTCTCAACATTCCCATAAGGTCGCACTAGCTCTTCAAACTCTTGCAACGTATAGAAAGGGGGCAAATTGGTAATGCAGAGCAGGGCATCGGTTGGCTGAAGCTGCAATGATATTTCTTTTCCTCGGAGGGAATGTTGATGAAATAGCCGTATTGCACTCTGAGCTTGCTCCCCGTTCAACAAAGTAACAAAAGCTGAAAAACAGCAAATCAGACAAAACTTTTATGTAAACTCTGCAACTGGGTTGAGGAGGTTTTAAGCTCTTGGGAACTATCAAGCTTTGTGATTTCTAAGCCCAAGGTGTCTTGAAACTGATATTATTTCACAACCCTTTCACACAAAAACCCCATTCCCCTGCATTCTCCATTTCAGCAATTATGACTTAGGAAAGGTAGTGTTATTTTCTTCTGTTTTTTTTTACTCTCAACTGTGCTGACACAACTCTTTTGTTTACTCATGGACTAAGAAAAGCCCAATAATTTCTTATAGATTAATTGATTAACTTTTGTGAAACTCCAATATATGTAGAAGGCATATGTAACTTTGTAATAGCATTTTTTTTTCATAATTTAAAATCAGTATTACAAATTCACAATATTAGCCATTTTCTTTCACTAAAAAGTGGAAGCTTGGCTCAGATGGATCCTCTCCATTGGACTTTTTCAGGATTTGCTACTCTTCCCATCATTTCCTGGAGATCCACCAGAAGATCAAGAGGTAGAACCACCTTGAGATCAAATTCATGGGATGCATACATGGGATGGGGGAAAGGGGGCACAGTAGGAAAGAAGGAAAGAAAATCTTTACATGACTGTTGCATTGACCAAAAACCATTCCTCCTTATTACATTCGGTTAAAAACTGGCACAATGTCATTGGAAAGTAAAAGTTTTGCCTGGCACATATAACCTTTTAAAGTTATTGCCGACATATCATATTTTGATCAGACTTTTCCTGAAATTCAATTCCAGGAAGCTCTGGTTGCAGGATTATTGTTTAAAACCAAAAACAATTTTTTATTCTTGCATTCCTATTAATCATCTGTTTCTATTGAACACTAAAACTCAAGTGGAAGCAAACTAGAATGGTAAGACGATACTATTGAGAATCAGGAATGTTAACATCTTCTTTCAAGCCTGAATAATCAAAGGTTATACTATCCTCGAGGGTACTCAAGAGGTTTACTAAATAAAATATAAATGGAAGTCTCATAGAGGAACTGGTTACAATGAAAGGCAAGTTTCTTATATCAGAGCTGTGCAATCGACCCCTCTAAGTCCTTTCAAAGTTACAACTAAAATGACTTCTGAATGTTGCATAAGAACATTTTAAAAACGTAGGAAGTAATTCTTTTAATAAAGGCTCGTAACAGCTATGTGGGCACATCCATAATTTTTTTGACAACAATACACAATTCATTCAATTTCCTAGTCTAGATTACTACCTTTGAATTCTGGAAGTCTTCTAAGTTCTTAAAGTTTTAAGAACAGCCAATAAGCAATCATATTAATATTACTTAATGTGATTTAATTTTTTTTATCCCATTCATTTGCATTCTTGTTGGAATCCATCCCCAATATGTCAATCAAAGACCAAACATTGGAAAACATTTTTTCTTCTTCCATTTAATCATGTCTAATTTTTGGAGGCTGTCTGGACAAGTCCCTACAGTTTTCTTGCCAAGGTTTTTCAGAAGTGGCTTGCTGTTGCCTCCTTCATAGGGAGGAGAGAAAGTGACTGACTCAAGGTCAGTCTTTGTGTCTAAAGCGGAACTCAAACTCACAATCTCTTGGCTTCTAGCACGATGCCTTAACCACTATACCATTTTTATACAATCCTGATTTATTTGATCTAAAGAAAAACTCTAGCTTATGGAAATGCAATGGGATAGAAGAATCACTCCAAATCAGGCAGCATATTTTATTACTGTAGGCAAGGTTTTCCGTGTCAAACAATTCTTCATTTCCATTATATCCCCTATAAAATCCTATCCCTGATATCTATTAATGTCCCTGGAGAGGAGTTTTAAGAAGTCTAGCTGGGGGGAAAGGAGGAGGAGGATCCTTGTGGAACCTTGGCATATATCATCTTATACAAATAGATAATTTTTACTCACAGTATTATACAAAAAACCAACCAGGGCATTGTACAAAAATAGTGTCAGTTATTTTTTATAGTTAAGTTACCTACCATAATTATCCAACTGTAACAATGGTAGGCAATAAGTTTCACTTCAGAAGTTCTGAACTACACCTCCCCCAAGGTTCAACTTGTTGTTGCCTCCAAACTGTAAAAGGCCTTCACAATTTTAACCATCACTGAGTTCTATTCTCATGTGTCAATAATGCAAAAGCACTTTAAAATGGATATTTTTTTAAAATAAAGATTAAAACTCATTGATGGTACATACTAATAGCCTAATAAGTACCAAATTCAATGCGACATTAATTTAGAGAAAAGATTTGCCTTTAGTGACATGAGCAGCTATATACATTTGATCAATAATAATTTGCTAATAGAATTTCTTTTTCAGTGGTCACTTTGCACACTCAAGTTATTATACTGAACTATTAAATTATGAATATGCATTTCTAAACTGATCCCATTTCTAAACTGATCCCTATACTATAGGCTGAAAATTTGTTCCTAATTTAAAAAATATAGGGTTTCCAACATTTCCTAATCCCTTTCAGATCTAAAATAGAAAGTAGTAATTATAAATTTCTTTATTGTAATGTTTATATAAAACTATAACTTCAGATTTAATTATGTTAGACTGACTCAAATATTTTTTCTGTTTGCCATTGTTTGTTATTCAAACAAACTAGTACAATATGATTTGTGCATATTAAGAAAAGAATTTAATTAATTAAGAAAATTAATTAAAGAAAAAATAATTAAAGGATCAAAGAAAATTTAATTAAGAAAAGAATCAGTGTGCAAGAAATATGAAGTAAATGTCAGTTTACACATACACACACATAAGCACACTTAAGCAACAATTTAATTAAATTGTTATTAAATTAAATTGTTATTAAATTGTGAAATCTAAAATTAATCAAAATAGCCAAATCTCTTAGCGTTACGATTATATTGCAAGTTTTTACCTGTTCGTTTATGTTTGTCCACATAGCAATACTTCAGCTCAAAGTCTTTTAATAATTCGTGGATTTCCTAAAAGAAAAACAATGTATGATTAAACACAATCTCAATGGAATGATTCTTTTTATTTCAGCTTAGAGACTTGAAAACATTCCAGGTAAAAATGATTCTGGAGACATGCTGCCAGAAAATATTAGTTAAGTATCAATATGAGTATGATGCAATTCAACAGTAAGCAGGACCCTCTGAACAGCAGAATTCACAACATCTTATTTAAAAAATGCCAACATTTGCCAAAGATTAGCTTTCAAACAAAATTTTGAAGTTGAAGGGCATTTCCTCACAGTGATATTTTCTTTCAGCTACATTATATGTTCTTTGTAGAAAGAGAATACCAGAAATACCAAGCCTCAAAATCTAAACTTAAACAGTCACGTATCATGAAATGTATGAAATTAAATCTTAAGCCAATTAGCTGCCACAACATCTGCTACCAGAATTTAACATTGTCTGACACATCAGTACTGAATTTTGAAAACCTGCTTTTTATTACTGTGAAATAAGGCTGCATAGGAGTAGAAAACTTCCCCCCATTTCTATTAACTTTATCTTCTGCTATAAAGCGTTTCTCCTCCTCTATAATTAGTTGTATTGTGCAAATCCTCCTGGAATACAATAGCTAGCATCTGCATCCTGTTCCTCTAGTGTATTGATAAGAAATGAATCAGCAGAGAAAAACATTTGAATGCTGAAGTGTACAGGGCTAGGCTTCCAGCTAAATATTGATTTTATACTGAGTCCATAATTCATATAAGACTCACTTATACCATTATGAATTAGCACTGTCATTGTTATATATGGCGTACTTGTTGCAATTTATGTAATTAGCATAGTCATGTTGATAATATTAAGATAATTCTAGAAGGAACATTATTTTTTTAATTGCATTTTTATTGGAGTTACATTCTATCGTTTCTCCAGACAGGTAGCTGGGGAATGTTCTTTCATTTTATCTCCATTAGAAGTTTTGGAAGACTGGGCTGAAAAAGAATGACTAATGCAAATCCACCAAATGAACTTCCATGGTTTAGAGTGTTTTGGTTCTCTCTAGTCTTTGTCCACACCTTAATCATTATACCATTTGTCTTTTTTATGTGGGCTGGAGCTTTGGAGTCTTTGGTTGACAAATTATGTGCCATCAAGTCAGTGTCACCTTTTAGCAACCATATAGATTTTCTCCATGGTGAGCCTGCTTGGTTCTTCAGGTTTTCCAACGATTTATCCATCAGCCGTCTAACTGAGTCTATCCAGTTGATCCCAAAGATAAACAGTAAAGTATAGTTAGATATGACTTTGCTACTCAGCTTCCACTGAACTGGAACATAGAGCACTCTGTTCTACTGAGAATACAAAATTTCAAATGTTACAGTAACTTCAAAATTTGTATCTTCCTTATATTTGTTAGTTGGTATGATTATGAATTGGATGAGATTAAACATATATCTTAAATCCAAGGGGGAAAAACTGTAGAGGAGCCTTACTTGATTATACCATTTTGTTTGATTATACTATTTCATAAATAATCTGGATCTTATCCTTTAGTTAAATTAAGCAATGGATATATGCTTGGATTTTATTACATATCATCAGTGATTGTAGCGGATTGGAAGTTTTGTCTCTTATTCTATTTCTGCTATTCAATTACAGTGCTGAAAACTTCTGCTTTTGCCACAGTACGATCTGTGGCTTCTCTGGATATTGCAAAATGGAGAAATTGTCTATTGCCTACCACCTCTTTGTCTTGTATTTATGTCCTTATTGAATTAAGATTTTATATTATATATTCTGCTTTTATAGAGGTCAATACACAAATGGCCCAGTTAATAAATGGTGACTTATTTTTGTAAAGTGATATGGCTCATTAAGCTGTTTAGAGTTAGGGTTCTTTGATGAAATTCCATTGGAATAAATGATCATTATTGTTCACCAGATACTTTTCGTGCCAACAAACAATGTAAGTTGTTTGATACTCTGTGTTTCTTGATTTGTTTTAGCAATTAGAAATCATAAAGTTAGTTGCTACGCAGTTGCTTAGGAGATACCTAGTTAAGAGTAGTTGCAGTTTACAGATTACAAATAAACTAATTTAGTTTTCTTTTTTTTATACAACAGTGTTAGCAAAATAAATTGTATTTCAGATAGGTTGGATTTGGATTGGATTGGATGAGGTTAGGATACCTGACTTGAGATTTAAGTTTTCACATGCAAAAATATGATTGTGTGTGGGAACTGTGATAGAATACTAAAGTAAAAGATAAGGCAGCATTAGTTCAGATGAAGAAGCACATTTAAAATTTTGTCAAATGTAAGAATTATGCTAGAGTTCCATTGTTGGGATTTTTCTTAACTTGAGGTGCTTCAAAAAATGTGCCTCCTTGTGGTCCGTATTGAAGTATGTACAGTTTTATTTATTTAGTATGATTTGATTGCTTATTTGTACCCTATGACTATCATTAAGTGATGTACCTTATGATTCTCTACAAATGTACACTGACAGCATATGCACCTAGACAAATTCCTTGTGTGTCTAATCACACTTGGGCAATGAAGAATTCATTCATTCACAATATTTTTAATTTTATACCATGTCTTTTTTCTTATATAAACACTCATAGCAGTTTTATAATATTTCAGCCACCTAAGAAATACAAACAACATTAAAATCCATAGCATCAATAACAAAAGTTTGATAAAAGAAATACATTTCTGCCATTTGATCATTTCCTAGATCCATGATGGCGAACCTATGGCACGCGTGCCAGAAGTGGCATGCAGAGCCACTTCTGCCAGCACACAAGAAGTTGCCCAGAAGAAGCCCACTTCACATGTGTGTGTGCATGCCCCCCGCCAGCCAGCTGATTGTCGGGTATCTGCCATGCATGCGCAAAGGCATGCGGAGTGCGGGGGGTTGCATGTGCAGAGGCGTGCAATGTGGGGTCACACACGCATGTGCAGGGGGCACGGGGAGTCATGCAAGCATTGCATCATAGGTGCAGGCACACAAGCGCATGCATGCGAGCGCACTTTTGGCATACAACATGGAAAAGGTTAGCCAACACAGTCCTAGATACTGGGAACATGAGAGCTAAATGCATCTCTGGAAAGAACATTTTATAGTTTGGAAGACAAGACAAGATGTTCTCTCCTATACTGAGATCCTGGATATGAGGGCATCTTCAGCTAATCTAAGTTAACTGGGCAGATTCCTAATAAGAAATAGTTAGACCCTAAGTCATTTTAAAAATAAATAATCAACTAATTAAGCAAACAAATAAATTCATAAACAGTATTTTGATATTCTTTGTTTGTAAAAATAAGCCAAATGTTGTTGTATATAGTTTCTAATTTGGATAACAATCCAAAGAATGGGCAGAATTATAGAAATATCCACATGTGCAAGCTGAAGGAACTTGCTCATGTTGTAAGGAGGGCCAAGAAATGGTGGGAAATGCTCAGTCTCCATTGATAACTAAAGCCCATCTGTACTTTGAATAGCTGCCATTATAAGAGCATAGCAGGAAAATAATACCTAGCCCAAGTAATGTTGTTACCAAGTTTCGTTGTCAACAAATTTTGATTGGGTAAATGCACTGTATTAAACAATGGTTTGTTTAACCATGATCTACTGAATAAGCGACAACTGATTTGCAGCATGCTAAATTAAACCCTGATTTAATTAGCCCATGTAACATTTAAAAAACAATACCAAATAAAAGACGTTATCTGAGTATGTTGTGTGACTTAGCTTGTATTGTTACAGATTAAGTGCAGAGTGAAAAGCTGAAACTTACATCAAAAACATTGCTTATCTAATAAAAAATATATAAATAAATGTATATAATCACACACACACACACACACACACACACACACACACATACACACACAAAGAGATGTTTATGTTCATTCCAGCATAACCAGAATACACATTTTACTGCATATCATCGGCACAATACAGAAATCACATCAGGCAAAAATGGAAAGGAGACAAGTTATATATTACCTGTCAGAGAACAATCCCAAAGTTAGTATTCATACTTTAATATACAATTTCAGAGAGAAGTAATCCTGGCTTCATAGTCATTCATTTAGTGACCATTCCAAGTTACAAAGGCACTGACAAAAATGACCAGTGAGTAGTTTTCATGCTTACACCATTGAATAGAATACTTTATTGGCCAAGTGTGATTGGACACACAAGGAATTTGTCTTGGTGTAAATACTCTCAGTATACATAAAAGAAAAGATATATTCATCAGGAGTCGAGAATCATAAGGTACGACACTTAATAATAGTCATAGGGTACAATAAGCAATCAAATCATACTAGGAAACAGTCAATATAGATCATAAGGATAGAAGCGTCCAAGTTACAGTCATACAGGGACAAGTGGGAGGGGATGGGTGATAAGGAGTGATGAGAAGATTAACAGTAATAGTAGTGCAGAGTTTGTAATAGTTGAACAGGGTTGAGGGAATTATTTGTTTAGCAGTGATGGCTTTCGGGGAAAAACTGTTCTTGTGTCTAGTTCTTCTGGTGTGCAATGCACTCCCTTCCATTGAGGGAAGGAGTTGAAACAGTTTATGTCCCGGATGTGAGGGATCTGTAAATATTTTCACAGCTCTCTTTTTGACTCATTTGATTGTAGCATCCGCATGGTCACATGATCACAATTCAGACACTTGGCAACTGGTATTTATGAGGTTTGCAGTGTCCTCGGTCATGTGATCTCCTTTTACAACCTTACAAGCAAAGTCAATGGGGAAGCCAGATTCATTTAACAAATGTATTATTAACAATTGCAGTGACTTTCATAACAACTGTGGCAAGAAAGGTCATAAAATGGGGCAAAATTAAGTTAACAACTGCCTTGTTTAGTAGTGAAATTTTTGGGCTCAATTGTGGTCGTAAGTCGAGGACTACCTGTAACAACTTAATGACATTATTTTTGGAAGGAAAACTGGTGCAACCATATTACATTTTTTTCATGTATCACATCCCAGCAGAGACAG